GGAAAGAGGAAGGGAAACAAGAGTGTGCCGAGGTCTCCTTCTGACGGTGGCATGTTAAATCTAGGAAGTCTGTGGGAAGCTGCAAAGCAATTTATCGGTCGTGGATATGGAAGTATGTACCAGACGAGAGCTCGAGATAAATGAACAAACTTTTGGATCCGTTTTAGTAGGGGAACTCCAGTGAACTTTGAACGAAGAAGGCTTTTGTAATTAGGATGTTTTAAATAAACTCGGGCTCAGACATCACAGGAAAGAAAACGAAATCTTGTGGCAGAGGGCAGACAGCTGTATCCTTTCCCTACAACACTGGTGTCCTGTCTGCCCCCCCACCCCTTTCAGAGGTAAAAAAAAATGGACTATTGAGATGAAATATAAAAAAAGGAGACTGCCAGGTGGCAAATGTCTAGCTTAGTTTGCTTAAAAAGTATCATCATGGGAGTTATAGAAAGCTCAAAGATACTTAGGGAAGTTGCTGTGCAAGACAGGATGGATAGAGAAGGGTCTTTATATTGTGGCTTGTGTGAAGGAAAATTTCCTAATGCTAATGAAATGCAGACTATGTGTATATGTGCAGACTACGTATCAATTGACACTTAACAGGTTTGCAAAGAGTCACTCCCCTCCAGAAAGTGGACAAGGCTTGCATTAATATGACCTAATTAATTGTAAAGCCATCAGCTGAAGGTACATCCCTCTAGATTGTGTCCAGATTAGTGGTGCAGATGGCAAGGAGATGAGAAGAATTTTTTGCTGGCCTATTCTGGGGGAGAAAAAAATCACTATTGGAGTATACAGCATAACAGCTTGGGGGAAAATGGAAAGAAGAAACAGGCCACGTCTACACAAGCGGCAGGCTCGTTAACTGCACAGTCGTTTAGTACTTGCTTAACCGAGCACTAAACGACTGCGCAGTAACCAGCGTTACTACACAGTACCATCCCCGCACGGTTATTTTTAGACGCTTCAGTAGCAATGAGCTACTGCACCGTAGCATCTTGCGTGGACGTGCCCACGGAGTAACGAATGCAACTTGCCTGAACTGCAACTCATTTTAATCCCAGGGCCACAAAAACACGCCGTAACAGGAAAAACAGTGGGGCTACAACCAGCTTCTCAAACTAAAGTGGAACAGGCATTTCCAATCTGCTGCTTATCATCAAGCTAATGTCATGTAACAGTGGGATGAGGTTCAACAGAACCGTTGATTGCTCGGTGGAGTGAATGCTAATTGTGGAAGAACATCGAAGTCCAACACTGACATAGTGTCTTGTATCTGAGAAGGACTTAATGAGCGTTAGGACTGGGAAAGCGAATTGCTTGGTTAGCACAGTGCAAGCAGCTTTGGACTCGTTTCTGTCTTTTTAGTTGGTTTCTCAGATTCACGCTCCGTATTCTTGTCCTGCTTGTTTCAGCGATGTGCTAGACTACCGGAAAGTAACGCGTAAAGTATGTTTGTTCAGTGGTCATGAGGACTTCAAATCAAAAGTAACCTGGTTACACCTAGAAGAAAACTAGTCTGGTCACGTAGTTAATTTGGCTTCAGTCATTGCCAGAGAATCCAGCAAACGATCCCTCAAAAGGGTTGTTCCTGGCATAGTGACACCCCCCAGCCTAAATGTCACGTTGCTGTGGGAGCTTTGGGTCTAATTCGGGGTGGGCAACATGCAGCCTGGGGGCTGGATGCGGCCCGCCGGGCCATTCTGTCCAGCCCGCAGGGCCCTAAAAAATGTAGAAAATTAATATTAATCTGCCCTGGGCTGCCTGTCATGCAGCCCTCGATGGCTCTGCCCAAAATAATTGCCCGCCCCGGTCTAACTACACTCCAAAATCCCAGTGTGGCCTAGTGACTATGGTAGGGAATTGCAAACGATAGCTCTTGTATTGCATTCACCCTTCTGATAGCAAATCTGCCGGAGGCAAGTCGCAACTCCTGCGCCTTGGTTTCCCCCGTCTGTAAAATAGTTCTTGCACCCAGGGATGTCAGAGGTTTATCTGATAGTTGTGCTACCGTTTGAAACCCTTTCATGAAAAGTATTGTGCAAATGAGGATTGTATCGCTATTCTTTTGGGTTTTTTCAAAGCTGAGCTATCAGCAATGCATCTGAAATGGCTTGGTGCACTGACCGCTGTAACATTTTAACTTCTGTCTACAGTCAAGAAGAGGAGGATGATTCACACTCCCGATATTACGTCCCCAGTTACGAAGAGGTTATGAACACTGGCTACACCGAGACAAGAGACTTGGACAGAAGCACCAGGATCAGCATGTCTCTACCCTCCTATGAATCTCTAACTGGGATCGATGAAAACACACAGACCTCAGCGACCGCTGCTACAGGCCCCGAAGCCAACGCGGAGCGGCAGCCAAGCAGACACAGCTCTCGCTTGAGCAAACGCCTGAAACCCCTGAAGGTTCGGAGAATTAAGTCCGAAAAACTGCACCTAAAGGACATCCGGGTTAACCTGCCAGACAAAAATTCAAGTCATATAACGATAGAGCCATTGACCCCTCCTCCACAGTATGATGAGATTCAGGACAAAGCTCCAGGTAGTAGACAAGGGACTTAATATCTACAGACTGTCCAGGTAAAAACACTACTTGAACTTTGATTTCTGGGTACAAAACAGTGACATTTCCACAAGCTTGAAAGAGATCAAGGAAATGCTGGACTCTATATACCTCTTTTTTTTTTAGATGGACCAAATGAGCCTTTCAACAGATGGTTGCTCATGAACACTGGTGCATCTGATCTTCTGAAAGAAGTGAAGTTAAGAAGTACTAAATCTATACTCTTTAAATTAAGGAGCACCTTGCCTGCATCTTTTATAGTCTCTTTCTAAGCCACTAAAGTATTGTTGTTGGGGTTTTTAACAATTTACATGTGGAAAAGAGGGGGGTGGGGGGGGTTAACTCTTTTTTTTCCCCTTTAGTTTGACATTATTTGTATTTTCTTAAATGAAAGAAAAAAAAACATTGTAGCTTTCTGTGCTTCCATTAAAAATGGAGTTGGGCTAATGGTAGAAAGCAAGCCTACGTTTTTGCAACATTTCATAGTTTGCCGAGAAATAATCCACTGAATGAAACGAGAACGTGAAATCCAGCACGCATTTATTTAATCGTTTTACCATTAACCCGCGATGCCAGTGAGGAGCTTTCTATGTGCTGTTGGCCAAAGGGGGAGCATCATTTTGGGCGCTCCAGTATGAAGGGACAGTCTGTTCAAGATTAACTTGTGTAATTTCGGTCAGTTGGACGCCACTCTAGCGTCCCACGGCAAACGTGTTCAAAATGCTCGAAGCTAGTGTTGAGTGTGTGCTGTGCAAACAGACTTTAAAAATAAATATTTTGTATATAGTGTGTGCATCTGTATGGGTTTGTAAATGGGAACGAGTGAGCTGCTTTAACCCCGGGATGAAGGAAAGGAAGGATGCAGTGGTTTTCTCCTGTTTCTCAGCTTGGAAAGTTCCTGTTGCCGCATTCGTGATGCATTACATCTCCGTTTTTAGTAAAGCCACGGGAACCATAAAAGCATGCATATCTGTGACGTCACGTGAAGAAATATGCGGTAAGTGCAGCTTGGAAGAGGAGTTTCCTGGATTTCAACAGACAAGTCACAAATCTGTTGTCTCGGTCTCTGGTATGAGGAAGCGGACTTGGTTTGACTTTGGGCAAGCTAATTTCCCTGATGCCTCTTTTCCTGGAAGTGTCCTTGGCACTTCTCCCTCTGAGAAGAAACCAGTTGTTGAATATGTTGGTATACCAAGACACTTATTAAGGGATAGAATAAGATCAAGTAATGTGGCTGCTTTGTATGAGACTGATGCTACAGAGCAATGCATATTAGGAAACTTTGTGTCCGGTATGAAATAAGACTCGTGAATTCTGGGGATTGGGGGTAAATGTGGTGGCTTTTATTAGATCAGCTAAGTAGTTGGAAAAGTTGTTCTTTGCAAGCTTTCGGGCACAAACACCCTTCTTCAGGCAGAGAGAGGCAGAGGGGTGGAAAGGGGTATGTTTTTGAGTGCCAAGTGATCCTGTCTTAATTAATAAGAAGTCCTACTCTAGAGAAACTCAAAATAAGAGGCTAAATATGAATTGTCTGGCCTGAAGACCTGTAACTCCTGCTGATTTAAGCATGTGGTTTTCTTTGCTGTCTTTAATCACGGCATGATGTAGGGTACAATTTCCATATTTCCTTTCCTTTTAAAGAGAGGAGAAGAGCTTAAAAATTGAACAGAAAGACTGTGATTGCCGTTGTGATGTCTATTGTGCACCTCTCTGCGGAGATGCTTAACGAATGTTGCGCCTTTAAGTAAGGATTACCGTTGGAGAGGACCCGATTCCCTAAATCGGCAGCGAGTGTTGTTGTATGCCATGACTAATACAGTTCAAGATGGGCAGACTCTCGGTTAAGATCTGGTGAATCCTGTTTAGGCACGTTGCAGATAATCTCAGTGGTGTCTAAACAGGCTAATGTGAGTCATGGGACCTAAGCTGTGAAAGCATTAGCTCTTTGCTCAGAAGTCGCTGCTCTCCTGTTTTGAGAGAGACACGTGCATCGATACCACGACTCTTGTGTCCGAGCAAAATCCCTCTGCCTTTTTCTGTTCACACGTCCCCTGCCCGTGACTAAGCAATGTGGTGCTTAACAGGAGACGCAGCTCATATCTTAAATTACAATAGCACTTCAATATCATTAAAAGCACCACAAGAAGAAAAAAATCTGACCCTGGGCGCAGTGCCTTATAACATTGTGTTTCCGATACTGAGGATTTTTATGAATCCCTTCTTTCCATGCTTCAGGGCATCTGCTGCTCACCTGTAAGGCCCGGGAAGCCTGCATTGCTGTCCATTGGTTTCCCTGCCTTCCTCTGAAGCCCTGGACACTGTTCTCCAGACTCTAGGGCAGTTTCCCTACTGAAAATGGGATAGATTCGCCCCTTACCAGAACAAGCTTTGGGAGCCAGTTGGCGAAGGAAATGGGTGAAGTGCATGCACCCCAGAACCTGGGTGGTACACATTGTGCAACTGGACTGAATGCATCTATATCGCATACGCGTGCCCGCTTAATTTGGATAATCGGTAGAGAAAACGGCTCCAATATAATGCGTGTCAATGAACGGCCGGGTCTGCCTGCTGATTTCCAGTAGCTATCACGCACGACTTGGTGTTTGCTAGCTCAAACTACCTCTCTGTGCAGATCTGCTCCCTTCCCAAGTCTGTTATATCAAATGAGCCAATTGTGCCTTAATAAAGCTTTTAAAATGTGCTAATGAATGAGACAAATTAATGAAATGCAGTAAACAAATATAAATTGGCACAGTTGAATCTTATTAGCCTGTGCTAATTAGGAGAGTCATTTATGTGACATGGTTCTGTTCATAATTAGCACACCCAGTCAAAAGATTTTATTTTTTTATATATATATATTTTGTCGCGGCGCACCCCGCTGCCCCGCTCCTAGAGAGGGGAAAACTGCTGGGGAAAAGCCCCAGCAGGGATAATGAATACAGCTGTGGGTTGCCAGGGCAACTAATGAGAGTCAGCTGCCTATAGGGGGCAGGGCCTGGCTCCTATAAAGCCTAGAGCCAAGGCCAGGCTGGCAGTTCCCTGCCAGCAGCCAGAGGGGCAGGAGCTCTTGCAGTTAAGATGGGGGGAAAAAAGCTTACCAGCAAGTATAGCTCGTGAGAGCTCCAGAGGCTGGAGCAATGATGTTAAATTACAGCCAGGAGGCTTATGTTGTTAGGGCCCAGTGCCTTGGGTTTTGGTTATAGCCAGGGGGCTCGAGTTTATGTTTGTGTTCTAGTGTATTACACCGGTGGTTTGGGTGAGGCTATAGGGGTTGGAGGAGGCCTCGTAGGGACCCCAGAGGTGTGGGGGGGCCCTAGCGCCAGTGAGGGGTGCAACTTGCGGGGTGTGTAGACCCCAGCCCAGAGAGGGGCATTTAAAGAGCCCCAGCGTGGGCACAGCAAGTCCCAAGAGAGGGGCGATGTTACTAAGAATCCCAGTGAGGGGCACTGTATTAGAGAGGGCCTGGAGTGGGCCCAGTGAGAGCCCAGAAAGGGGCAATAGTATAGAGAGACATACCAGCGTCTATCCCATCTGCGAGGCTTGGGGCGTGGTATTAGGGGTTGGTTGGAGCCACGCGTAGCCCATAAGGCTAGGGTGCCTGGGGAGCACCCATCATACCGGGAGACCCCCAGGGGGGTCCGGGAACACACGGAGACAGAGGTCCCAGCTATCCGTGCCCAGGGAGTCGTAAGGCAGCCTCCCAACATGTATTAAACAGCAAAGACGTGGCGGGTGAGAATCGAGGGTGCCCTTGGGCCGAATTAGCACGGAGAGAGGGCCTTAAGGAGATCACAGCCCTCCTGTAGGACCCCGCCATGACTATATATATATATATATATATCATTCTGCACAGCACTGGTGCTGCAAGGCACTGGGAATAATGGGAATCTTTGACACTGGCTTCCCTAGCGACATGACCAGCATAGCTGGGGCCTTCAGCTCTAATAACCAACAAAAAAGGCAACACCATGGAGCCTATGGAAGTAGTCCTGCTTCACAACAGCTCTTCTGATGGGTTGGGTTATAATGCAGGTGCGAAAGAAAGACATGCATTTTCTATGGGAGGTGAGGTAACGAGACAGGACATCAAAACCAAAATTAATGAGCCCAATTCTGCCCAGGCAGTTGTACTCAGACCAAGAGATGGGGTCTTAAGCTACTACTGTTCATATGCAGAAATATGTGAGGGGTTTTGTTGATTTTATGTGTGTGCGTATTTATATGTATATGTGTGTGTATAAATATAATATGCTACAAGTAGACTCGCATCAAGAATGGAGTCCCAATTCAAGCAACTGCTCTTGCACTGAGGCAGTGGACCAAAGCCCATTCAGTTGAGGAGCTGCAGCACACCAGATAGGTGCAATCTAAGATGCCGCAGATGTGTGTGTGTACGGAGGGAACAGGGGTCATCTAGCGTGGTTCTGTGACGAATGTGACTAGTGCTAGAGGAGGCTCTTTGCGCTATGTCATGTAGCGACAAAGTTTTATTTTTGTCTCCTGTAAATTTTACATTATTGTACAATCAAACACACCGCGCATAGCGACTTACCTGATTTCCATTGGAGAAGGACGTCCGCACCTGGGTTCTGTGATCGCACAAACCTGGTCCTACAACACTTGGTGCATGTGCCATGATGGGAATCAGCTGGCTGCAGTGGCATGCAAGACCTGGAAGCAGTGGGAAACGGCTGTCAGCGGCGGTGCCCTTTTAATACACAGTCCCCTTCGTGTCAAAATGCATTGTGTCCCCCGACAAAGATCCTTGTACAATAGCTGCCTTGGTTGTCTGCAGGTTTTCTGTCTCGCTGCTTTTTTTCTCTCTTAAAACACCCTGGCTAATGACGTTTGTACTGCCGAAAGAAATAATTTGATTTTTCTTAACTGTAAGCCCTGTCTGCACTGAATCAGCATTTTTAACTGGAACTGATCTGAAATGCTCTTGCTTAAAAAAGTTGATGTAGTTTCTTGGCCAGCATTAAAGGAAGCAGATTTGGGTTGTGTTTCGGTCATCTTTTTTCAGCAGAGGCAATATGCCAGCACTTCATTGTAAGGATTTTTTGAATTACTGCAATCAAGAAAGGATGCAGAAAGGAAAGAATGAAATGAGTGCAGGTATTAAATAAAATAGCACCAACGTTTTGTTTCTGTTTGGAAATAACGTCTTTCCCACTTTAAAAATATACTTGCTCCAATTCAATTTTAAAATTAAAGTCATAATAGCCCACAGCTATATTGTGACACCAGATTCATCCTTTTCCATGGTTTTATACATGCAAGTGAAACTTAGCATTTGCTTCCTCAAAGCTGAGAACTGCAAAAATAAAGTAATCACCAAATAATGGAAGTAGAGCCAAGTATCTTTTTAAAAACTTCTCTGAGACTGTGGTTGTAACCCAAGAAAGCCAACCTGTGGCTCTTAGTGAACCTGGAAGTGTCCATTTAAAAG